GTCGACAATATGATTCTGCAACCTCTGCAGCATCTGACATGATGGATCTCAATTGCCTGAAGTCACAGTGTCCTCAGAGTATGTCAGCCATTACCACCCTGTGCTGTGCTTTCTAGTTTCATGCAGTGTGTACAAAGCTGGGGACCAAAATTAGGTCTTCTAAGGATGCCACATTGCTCCACCTACTGAACTTCATTGCTTCTGCTGCTATCCTTCAAAACTTGTGTTAATTATTCTTTCGTTTGCTCTCTGTCTCACACTCTCTGGCTAAGACACAGTGCTCACAGTGATAAAGGTGCAGCTTTATGCATATCAGTTCTTCCTCCAAGCTCATCTGTTCCATGAAAACAAGAAAACAGCTTGGAAATATGTATGTTCATTTTGTTCAGCCTCATTTTTTAAGAGATCAAATTGTTCTTGTGGGTCAATTTCTCGAAGCATACATGCACGTTGCTCCTGCAAAGCATGTATCAAGCGTATACTGAAGCCTATTTGTTCTGGATGCATAGAGTCAAACACATCTGCTTGGGAAGCCTCCAAATTTTGTACTAATACAGATTCTTCAACAAGCTCAGCAACAACACCTGACATATAAAGCTGATATTAGGGAATTTCAGCTATCTGGATTTAAAACAAAACAAAACAAAACTGTTTTGCTGGTTGTTTTCTTTCATGTTCCTTACTACTCTGTGAAAAATAACCAAAAGAGCAAAACGAGGCTACAGCCGCTGACATGAGAGATAGCTCAAAGTGTGGAAACCAGTGGAGTTGGGAAGTATTTCTCTCTCATGAAGTAATGTGTGCTGATAATCCTAGATACACTTCAGCAGGAGGAACAGATTTTTTGGGGCTCTACTTTCTGCTTCAAATAAGATTTGTTGAGTATCTGTGTTACTGTGAGCCATGGGAGACATTTTTGAAACCACCTCAGGTACCAAGGAGCTCAAAAGGCTTTCCTGGATCCCTGAGCTGCTTCTGTAAAATAAATAGTAAATAGATAAAATCTAAAAACAAAAGAAAAAAACCCAGCTGCTTACATGTGACAAGTGATACAGTGTGAGGAGACATCAGGAAGTAGGTCAATGTTTTGAAGCACAGGTTGGAAGTGTCACTATTTGTGTTTTTTGCAATGACCTTTTGAATTGGAGATTTAAGATAATGGAGAAGACTGTTAAAAAACATATGATTCTTTCAGCATGCAGTGGCAGTCCCCAGGATGCTGGTGGCAGGAGACTGTGCTCAGACCCTATGATTCCCACAGAGACCTATCCTACTCTTTCTACTCTGCTGAAGATGCTGCAGATCTGCGAGCTACTTGCTATGCAGCATCTTTCAGAGAATCTCCATGCACTTGGGTTTCAATCTATTTTCAGCTCTACAGCCCAAATTTCACAGCATTATCCCAACTTTACAGCCCAAAGCGTTGGCACCTGTTGCAATTGTGACTCTAACCTGGCACATTCACCAACTAGCACTGGGCACTGAGTGTGCCACACCCAGGAGTCAGTAACTGATCCAGCAGTTGCCTGCTGTTTATACAAGATGCTTCTGATCCCACAGCCAGAATGCTGCTTTCATGACAGACCACATTCATTCCTTTCCCCCTCATTGCTTTTCTCTCCACATGGCCAAGCTGGATTTCCAATTATGGTTGAACACTGATGTGCCTTCTATCTCTCATTTATTTTTGTTTCTACCCTCAGAAGCCATTGCCAACCTGCTCTTCTCTTAACTAACCATATTCTTCCCTCATCAACATGAACAAGTGCAGCATCATTGAGCCCTGTGTAAATAGCCACAATGACATCTGAAACAACAGAAATGTTAGTATTCACTTGATGGGGGTTTTTAACAACATGCTTGGAGATGTCGAGAGTTTGCCTTACATCTGCAACAAATTCACTATGTGAATCTTGATGGGTTGCAGATGGCATCACGAGCCACTACTTGCAACAGAAGTAACAACCCTGGTCAATTTTACCACATTAAACAATTTAGTTGGTTGGTAATTACATAGCAATTAACTTTGCTGCCTCACAAAGGCTATGTGAGCAGCCTGTGTGTTGTTGGTGGTTTTTTTCTTTCTTTTTTTTCTTCATCAGCTTCAGTCTTTTATCTATGGCTGGAAACAAGTGTTCCTGCCAGAACGAGCTATTAGGAAATGAGGGCCAGCCACGATCTCTTTGGGAAATAATGTCTGCTGCTCTGGAAAGGACTGGGAGATGGGATATCACAGTAGAATTTCAGCTACCTCTGAAATACTGTTACCACTTAAAGGACAGGCTTTATCTTCATTGAAAAAAAATGTAGTGTTCAGTCAAAATCTGTTGGTCAGGCTCCAATACAGTCACTGGAAAGATTGGTATCCCTCAAAGCGATTATCTAGCTGTCCAGAAATAAGGGAAAATTCTCGTGAAATGTTTTTATCTACCAAATGTAGAGGTGATATGAATAATATGATTAGATTCAATGCTTACTTTTAGATAACTATATGTTGTTTAAAGCATAGAGAAAGTCTTTGCAATGAGAAGAATCTTCACCTGGCCATCTTAAAACAATTTGCTTATTGGTTATAAGAGGACATGGCTATTTGATAATACCATATTACTTTACAACTGAGAGTGTATAACAAATATATTAAAAGCAAGAAGCTTGCAGCTGAAATGTCTGTGTAGAACTGAGGGTTCTATCAACCACAAGAATGCTCTCAAGTGCTCTTTGGTAGACTCTTTAACATCTGATTTGAAGACGGCACATCTTTCCAAAGATGTGTTATAATTATTGGTCTGTGTGAGCAGTGTCACACAGGATGAACTTACTGAAACAAAGTTTAGGAAAAAAAGTCTTGGCTAACTGCAGCATTTGGTCCTTAGATTGTAAATCTTTAGGGCTCGTGACATCCCTGCTGTTAACTTTTTTTCACCACTTCAATTATCAGTGATCATCTTTAAAGAAGAATGGTCATGAATGAAGGCACTGCATGAAGACAAAGGTGATCCAAATTTTGTTCTGCCAGAGGTTTCTTTTGTGACTTTGGTGGAGTCATTTAGGCTCAGCACTTCCAAAGTATTTAATATTCCTTTTGAAATCAGCAGGAGGCTGCTTCACAGTTCAGCTTCAGGCTACATAGGCTGCATATAAACTTCCTACTATAAGCGTGTTACAACTCTATCACTTCTAGTTTGACATCTACACTCCACCATGAGCTGCTGTGGCTGTCTGTTATCCAGCACTGTCAGAACTTTGCTCCCTAATCAGTCAAGGAGGAATTAGTTTCAGTCCCAACTCTGGCACCTTCAGCAGGAGGTCTGAATGTGATCTTTTTTACTCATTTTTTGCCCTTTCGTCTTCCTCATCTTCAGAGACCATCATCATGTTGTATGCAGACACTTATAATTGCAAGTACAGCTTGAAATGCTACTTTAGTATATCTAAAAGCCAACTACATTGGGCAGTCACACTTGGCAAATGTTTTTCAAAGGCTTTGCCATTTTAACCCGTGTTACTGGATCATGTAGAATTGCCTTTATTGCACAAGACTAGACTGTAAAATCGATAAATTTTGCAATATGGAATAAAGGCGGCATCTGCAGAAGACAGGAGTTTAAAGTACATTAACAGTCAGTGATATTGTTGTTTTTTTATAGTCTCCTCATGTAGCTTTTACTATCCCTCCCCATCTGTTCTGACAGAACTTCTGTATGCTCTGAATAAATCCCTGAACAAGATATTTTTCGAGAGCCATAAACTTACTATAATGTAAGCTCTGATTACAATATTTTTACCTTTATTTAGATAATTGCTCTTTCAAAACTACTGTTTGGATCAAAGCAAATGGCATTCTGACTGCTTAAAAAAAAAAAATAAATAAAAATAAAAATAAAAAAAGACAAATTCATGTTCTTCTTCTTTTCTAGTATTTAGTATTGTAGGAAATGTCCTTTATCTTTGGGGCATTTGAAAAAGATTAGTCCAGAAAAAGTTACTAACATTATTTTAATGATGTTTCCATCCTTGACTATCTTGTTTGCTATACCAGATGCTGACAGCACTAAAATGCAACTTATAGCAGTTCTTATAATTGCTGTTATCTTTTTGTGCCCAGGGAGGTTGTGGATGCCCCATCCTTGGACGTGCTCAAGGCCAGGTTGGACGGGGTCCTGGGCAACCTGATCTGAATGTGTATGTTTGGTGTCCCTGCTAGGCAGGGGGGTTGGAACTACATGATCCTTGAGGTCCCTTCCAACCCAGGTGATTCTGTGATTCTGTGATTCTGTAAACAAAATTACACAGCCTCAGGAGGAGAAAATAACAGTCCAGTGACTCAAGAAATCTTCTAGAGCTGTATCATGATACCAGCTTCTTACATTGTCTTTGAAGAGTGAAAAGCAGATTTCTTATAATAGAAGTAGCCTGTAATGAGTGGGTCATGGGTGATAATAAGGGCATCAACTCAGTTGTCAAACTGCTCGAAGTTTTCAGCTTGAGATTCATGGGGACAGAGGGTGGTATGTAAGTACATAAATTCTCAACACAGGTAAGTTTTAATACATCACCACGTCGTTTTGCACAGTGCCAGCCTTAGGAATACAGTTTGGAACGGAGCTTCCCTGAATAAGATCCTCAGAAACAAACAAACACAAAAACAGACCAAAAAAAAAAAAAAAAAAAAGCCAACAACAACATAAGTGCTTCCATGCTCAGAAGAAACTGACAGATTTGAAACCCCTGTAACAGTAAAATGTTGGAGTTTTTCACCAAACAGCTTAATGCCAACCTGTTCTAAAGCAGGGCGGTTTCTTGCATTGCTGGTAAACACCTTAAATGAAATGGGCTGTAACACTATACTTCATTATGGCCTTTCTGGAAACACTCCAGAATATCTGACTTTCTCCCATGATTGTACACTTCCTTTTGTACTGTGGTCTAACCAGCATACGTGGCTGAGATTTATAGACCTAGATCAAACATAGGTGTGCCTGGTAAGGTGTCAACTAAGAAAGGAGGGCACAGAGCCATCTGTAGTGTGGAGAAATCTGAGCTGCTTTCTGCACTGATGATACTAATGCTATGCCAAATGTGAGCATGAGGAGGAAAAAAGGACAGCTGAGGATTTGGCTCTACTCCTGATTTCTGACTGCTGAACTCAGACTGACACAGCAGTTAACAGAAACAGGATGTCAATAAACACATGATGAAATCTCCAGTTCTCACAGGTCTCTTCCTCCTGAGAAATCTCATTTAAGTAAACCCGCAAGGCTACTTTGCAAGAAAAGGAGACTGAATAAAACAGTGGGAGACACAAGAAGAGACAAATAGTCAAGGAAGGGCTTCTTTCTTTTATTATCATTCTGTTGTCATCCAGCTTAGCTGTTCAGCTCCTAAAGTCAGAGGACCCAAAATCCTAGGATTATTCATGTTGGAAAAGACCTTCAGATGTCATCGAGTCCCATCATATGTGTCCTCCTGTATATGTATCCTGTACTCCATACAGACATTCTCTTGACCTATCCATGGCAATCTCTGAAGAAAACATTCTCGATATTAGGTGTCATGTTATGTGCATATTGCAATTATTTCCATCTCTTCCGTCTGAGGTATAATCCTGAGGATTTTCCTGCTCTGATGAAGTGAGTACAACCTCAGTATATCCTCTACTCTTAAATTAGAGTTTAAAATACTGTTGAGTAATTTGTAAACAATATAGTCATGGGACTCTGTGAGAAGAGGGAGGAAGGGCAATAAGGATTCACATCCGTGTTTCGCATATTCCCTATTGTACACATGGTAAGAGGAAGAAAGTTATGCATAGATGACTTAGTGGCCTCAGTTGAGAAACTTAAAACAATGCAAACATGTCAACACATACGGTCCATGACCGTATTTTTTGCTTTCATCTGAATTTATTTGATGATGCTTGTTTGTGGGTCTGTATAATTTATGACTATATTTCTGCATAATCTGTACATGCATAAAAGAGTACATCTCATGGATAGAGTAAACATGTAATTCTTACCATCTGGTAGAAGGCATTATGTGCCTATGTATGTGTCTGCATGTTTTGTGAGCACAAGTTGCTGTGTAAATGTCCTTTATTACTTACTTCATTCCCTCTGTTGCTGTAGAACTAAGAGTACTTTGGAGATCTTTTAAATTTACACTTCATGCCATTTAAAACTGTACAAAAAGCCTGAAAAAATAATGTAGGAAATTAAGCAGAGGTGAAAGAGTGACAGGTTGACTGTATTCCTTATGTTCATTGAGAAGTTCCTGTTCCAGACTTCAAGAAATATTAACATGATCCACTCCCAGAAAAGTCAATGGGAGCTGAACTACATGCAGGGTTAGAATAAAGGTTTATCTTGATCTGCATCCCTCTCCTGGCCTTCTTTTCATGCTTTAGGACAATCAAGAGACCCTTGGGATCGTGCAAGAGGTTCAGGAGAATTTTTTTATATAAAGGGATTAATCACTGACTCAGTCTTTTATGAAATCGTCACTCAAATCAAATGGGTCAAATGTTTTGGGTAACAGATAGAAATAAATGGAGTTTTCCTCTTGTTCTTCTTCACTGTGTTGCTGTTTTCAAGCTAGTTCCTCTAATCTTTTCCTGGAAAGAAAACAATACACAGGAACACAGGAACATAAGCTGGCATCTCATATAGGTCTCCAAACAGTATGTCTTTTCTCCATACTTTCAATCTCAAAATTCTCCTTGGCTGCTAGATTTCAAGACCACGGTTTCTTAGTTTTCACATTTTTTCAGGCTTGACTTTGTTCACTGTCCTTTTTTTTTTTTTTATGCACAGGTTGCACAATATCTCTGATCTGGGGATGCCTTGGACTTGGATTAGAGCCTTTGTCTTTTGCTTGTCTCTGCTTCTGCTGACGACTCAAACATTCTGAGAGTCCTTGAGGTGAACAGGACCTTTTGGTCATCTGACTCTTCCAGAACATGACCCCCTTCAGACTTAATTACGCCTTTATTTTGGAGGGTTTTGCAATGCTGGATTCAGCAAAAAGGGGGAAGAAATTAACTGGCCTGATTTCTGCACCTTGGGACCAATCACTCTAGCTTGTGATGAAGCACAGTCACAACACATTGTGCTGGAGCCAACCATGTGGTTCTTTAGATCTGCTCAAATTAACATAGGGTTGGGTTCAGTTAGCCAGATGCTGACACCATCTGTATTTAGTTCTCACAGCCTTAGCAGGTGCAGTAATTTGATGAGGTTAACCACCAGTTAAAGGGATGCATAAACCACTTATCGTGTTTCAAGCTATTGTATTTTGTGTGGTAGGAAATGTCCCTTCTATCTATATGGGTATTGATCATATCATTAAAACGTAACAGTGGCTGGAAACTAGAGCTATGTGAAAGTATCAGTGGTTCTATTTCCTAGAGATATTATCATGAAATTTAACCCCCTGTAACCTCTCCCGTCAGATTTCCATTCAGGTGAACCCAGTATTTCTAAATTTAAAAGGAAAACACACAAAAAAAATAATGTGTATCGAATTTTTGCCTTTTTTTTTTTTTTTTTTTTTTTTTATGACAGGTTTAGCGAAGATGTTGGAATTGTTAAAACCAAAAGCTAGTCAAAGACAACTTGAAATAGAGCTCAGGTATCTATTGGTCTTGCAAATTCTGGCAGAAGTTTTGGATTAGAAATGAAGTTAAAAAGCAGCCCAAGCAGTTCCATTATTTAGGAGTGTGTGGGGATTCCTGACCACAAACAGGGCATATTTTATCCCAGTTGTCCCTATTGGATACTTCTGATTTAAGAGTAGTTTTTAAGTCTTATTCTTCACAATTTATCTCTAGTTATTCCAAAGCATTTGAAATTCTCACCACAGCTGATATCTGGCAGAAAACAGTCTGATCCACAGACCACTGAATTGTTGAGAAAGCCTTTCTCATTGGTTTCAAACTACTTGGAGATGCAAAATTGGAATCAGTGTATGAACTTACCGTATAATGTCTGGCTCATGGATATTTCACTGGACTTCTCACATGGCTTCATCTTTGTGTTCCTGTACCTTCTAAGGAAGACCTAATTTGGTCATAGCACCTTTTATGAAGTGCTTTTTAATGTTGTATTACATACCAAAAATTTAATTCCAGTTTTGAAGAATTTTTCCGTTTTTGACTCTCAGTGTTATGGTTTAATATGTGAACAAATCTCTAAAGGTTACTAATTGCTAATTAACCCAGAAAGGGAAGAGTCCTGGTGAAATGTGTGCTGTACACATCAGAGCTCTCATGGTGCTCAGAATTTGCTCACTAAAATCAGCCCTATAAATCTTCATTAGGCCACAAGCTCTGGGCACTGTTACAACTCTAATTCAGGTTTTCCACATCCATATCTCAGATTGCACATAGTGAAGATACTACCTCATTTCCACATCATTTACAAAGGGTGTATTTTTCCCTACTGAGAAGTCTCATTGTAAGAGCAATCAGCAATTCAGAGCTATCAATTAAACATAGAGCCTTTTAAATGGCAGTAAAAGTGAAATGGTAGAGTGGAATGGGAAGGAATCTAAAAACAGGTGCAATTACACTCATTTTTATTTCAGACTCTTAAATTTTTATGTCTTTTACAGGCACATGAATAAATGAATTATACAGGATTACAACTTTTGGGAATTAATTCATGCTATTCCAGAAAGCTCTAGTTCAGCAGAGGTGGCAAAAGGAATAATAGGTTCTAAAGGCACCAGATGTTGGCTGTGAGTCTTCCAGTGATTCCAGGTACTTGCCAGCAAGTTACAGTATGTTTTGTATGGTTAGGGGAGAATGGAGAATTATAGTGTCTTTTAAAATTATGCACACTTAGTCCCCCCCATCAACAACTATTATTCTCCTGACAAGTCAAGTCCCATGCCCGGGACCTCAGTAACTGTTATTAGCTAAGCAGCCTCTCATGAAGTGCAAAATGTTGATTTGAAGTTAGATTTGCATAAGTATATCTGTGACTGGGGATGATTTCATTTGTGCTCCTTGTAGGTTGCAAAGTTCTGTTAATTTAAGGCAGTTTACATGTGTTGGAATTTACACTGGCTTACTATGCTTCTGGAGCCGAGGCTGCTGCTGTGGTCAATGAAAATTTGAGCATTCCTCTAAGGATCTTGCTTAGATGCCTGAAATCTGGTACCATAAATATCCCTCTTCTATCTCTGAGTTTTAGAACACATCTGGAATTACAGTTCCATTGATTTCATTGAAACAAGCAACACATTTCTCTTCTAGAGTTCCAGCATTTGAATGAAAGAACTGGAATAAGGTTCTATCTGAGTTATTTTATAGTTTTAGACAGGAATTAAACCTTTACAAATGTTAAGGAATGTTATCTGTTTAACTGAATCACACCAAGCCCTTTTTGCACATTTTAATTATCCTATGTTTTCAGTAGATGGCAGAAACTGAAGAAGCTGAGACCATGTGGAATTCAGGACACTTTGTAAAACTGGGAGCTTATAAAACCACTGCTTCCTACCAAGTCCTGCTAATAGTCCAGATTGCCTTTCTCCATCACTCCTTATTGAGAACAAGATTATTAGCAATGAGTCTGTTTTCAAGCATGTTTACAGTATGTACACACATATTTTTCCAGACGTGAAATAATTCCTTTCCAATGTAAGGTCAGATGACCACAGCACTAGTTTGCAGAGTGAATCCTGTACCAGATATGAAATGCTGCTTGGTATCTCTTCCTCACTGATTCCATTGTACCATCCACAAGATGCATCTCATGGTTGGCTTTGTTTGAGCATAAACTATTCCATAGTATGCCTCATTAAATTTTGCCTTAGCTGCAAAAGTGTGTGAAGAGGAAACGTGGTTCCATGACTTGCATATGTGAATGCAATTGATGGGTTCAGCCTGATCCTCTTGATTTATGTTACAAAGTTCACACAGGAACAATTAGGAACAGAAAGTGGAACTTTGTTGTTCCACTTTACATACATCCAGTTTTTAAGTTAGTGACATTTTGGTTTCATGATCTTGAGTAGAGGCTCAAAAAAGTGCAGCAAACCCCTTTCCTCCTCCTTTCCTGCAGCTGAGTTTCTACAGTGGGTGAGGAGCCATGGTCACAACAGCCATGGTCACAAGCCATGGTCACAACAGTATTTTTTCCTTTGAATCTTTATTATTATTATTCATGACATTATACTGACATCACTGTCACTCCCATCATGCCAGGGGGGATATGGCTAGATTAAAAAGCCATCTTGTCTGTCCTCTGTCTGCACTGAAAGTAGCAGCTTTGAGAAGAAATTACAATATGAGTCTATTAAAGAGTATCGGGTTATAACTTTGCTAAAAGCAATGAAATTTCACTCCCTTTTTCCTTAGTGCTTTGTAATTTATTCTCATCAGAGAATATCCTTGATTCTGGGGCTAGGAGCGTACACGGAGTTCACACAAATTGTCTTTGAAGTAAACTTGTTTCTGCATCTCAGATGAAGAGCTGAGATAGTGTTAAGAAGAACAAAGAGTCCTCCCAGTACTTCCCTCCCTTCCATGCCTTGTAGTGAGATCAAAGATCCCCGAAGTGTTACAATGGTTTATAGTCGAGGGAAAGGCAAATCTTCAACCCCTCCTGCAGAGGTCTTTCCCTGATTCTGGGCCACCTTATGCGTGCAGATTGGCATGATTTGTAGAGTAGGGTGCTCCCAGAAGTGTCCTTAACTCTTTGATCCCTGACTACTATGACTTGACTTTTTTGGCAGACTTGTACTCTGTACCTGGCTCCCCAGCTACAGTGCAGTGTGTCGTCTTCAGCAGAAGATGAGCTGATGCCTGAGGCTTTGTTTTCCCACTGATAAGCAGAAGGCATTTGGTTAAGTTAAATATAAACAAGGAAGATTTTCTTGGGCTATAAAGGATTAGTCACAGCCTGGGAGGAAGTTTCTTGTTGGTCATCCACTGAAATGTATCTTCTGTTATTGCAGTGGGATCTCCTGGGAGTATGCATTTGCATAAGAGGATTAAAAAAAAAAAATTCCACCTTGCTTCAGAAGACTCCAGCTACTCATCTGTGCCACCTCAGTGCCACTCTCACCCCGGAGTTAAGCTCTTTTTGCATAGGCATCATAAACTCTAGCTTGGACTTCTTCTCCCAGAGCCATCACATCCTCCCTGCTGCTTTGATGACCTGCCCCATCAGAGCTCTGCTGGCTCCTACTCAGCCAGGTGATACATCCTGCCTACTGCAAGCAGTCTGTGGGAACCCAGCACCACTGACAGAACTGGTCAGCAGGAGCCCACTGCTCTATGCCTTTTCAGCTATGATTCTATGACTCTAATAGTGTATTCTGATAACTTCCAAAGTACAGAATTTCACACACAATAGCTGTGAAAATCTATTGGTTCACTTCATTATAGTGTTTTTCTTGAAGAGACAAAAATACTTCTTCCAACCCAAAATGCTTTTTTCAACTCAAGAATTTCTCACAAGTAGATTGAGCTGGAGCTAGTCAGGAAATACTCATTTTATAGTTAAGTCCTCAAAAAACCAATCTCCTAATTTTATTTATGCAATTTTATCTCTCTTCTTGAAAACAGTAATGTTAAAATGACAAACTATTTGAAGCATTCTATAAAAGAAAAGAAAGAGATGAAACTAAATCTCTGGTCTGCTTAAGAGTAGCTGTTTCTAGGAGAAAAAAAGGGATGTGATTTAGTTGGAATGGTTGAGATGTATTTGACTAGAAGACCTTTTCCAACCTTAATTCTATGAAAATCAAATGAAAATGTGCATGGAACTCTGATTTAGATCAATATAGTTGATTAGTATTTCACTGATGATTGGTAGCCACAACATGATAACCCATGAAATGACTGCAAAAATGTTTAAAGGAAACACCTCATTATCACAGCTGCCAAAAAGTGGTAAAAACACTTCAGTATTCAGTCTGATCTTTGTTTATTTTTAAATGAGATGGCATTGGGACAGTGCTGCATAAAGTTGCCCTAAGCCTTCCAGCAAAAGATGGTTTGTTTGTTTGTTTGTTTTTTATTCATAACAGTTGGAAAAACACTCTAAATTAAAGTGCACTCAAAAGTCCAGCTGTTGAGCAGATTGTGTCACCTGAAGTCTTGGAAAATACAGTGCAAGGCTATCTGAGAATCAGCAGAGAAACAAACTCAGGACTGATCTTGAAATTGGGAGTCAGTATGCAAACAGGACAGCAAACGAGGATGGACCGAAAAAGCCCCTCCAAACTGGATGTGAAGCTGTCATAAAGTAGCAGTTATAGGAAGACTATAACAACAGTGACTATATATTGAATAATTCTGGTTTCGGTGATTTTTTTCATTAGCAAAATTTCACTAGGTAATGGCCAACCAAGGTATACAAACTAGCACTTAAAGTATGCCATTGCCAGTCTTTAACAGATAAAAAAGCAAGTGTATCTGTAAGGTGCATACAACCAGAAAAGGAGAAGAAAACCCATTCTTGTGGCTTGTGAAGATAACAGAAAACAAACTACCTGATATTGAAGTGCTACCAGGTTGTTGACTAGTCTTAAAGGAAAAGTTGTGAAAGCCACAGGGGCATGAACACTTATGGAGACTTGGAAGTAACAGCTAAAGGATTAGGCCATCATCTCCTGACTCCTTATCTGCTTTTAGACAGTGTTTCATTTGGAAGGAGCTTACACATAGGAACATTTCCAGAGATGTTTGATAGATAGATATCCATTTTCATCCCGATATTTTGTTTGTTTGGTTGTTTGTTTTTGTTTGTTTGTTTCTATTCAAACTGTTCAACTGCAAGTACAAGATCCTACTTGCCCCTGTTTGAAAAGCTCGTGGATTCCTGTTCCTGACATGCATTGACCTAGCACCCAAATTTCAAACCCTAAGTGACAATATGCACATGTGTAGTGTGGAAGGGAGAGGGATCGAGCATGCCATAACCATTCCTTTTGGGTGTGCAGAAAAGCAGTGCTGGTAAGTAAAGGGAGAAATGGCAACAGTGTGCAGGCATTACAATCATGAAGTCATCATAGCACTGGTTCAGCTGTGCTCTGTGTGCTGAACATGAGGAGTGCCCGCTCTGAAAGAGGCAGTGAGAGAGGGAGAAATACAGCTGATGTGGTATGAAATAAACAGATGTGGGATTTTAAGGCATGAGCAGGTATGGACATCTCTGAAAGCACTTTTGTCTGGGTGAGAGCTTTGCAGAGCTTGAAGATCAAAGTTAGGCTCTGGAGGTGGAAGAGAAGGTTGACATTTGAAGAAGTGGGGAAAAACTCGTGAAGCAGAAGATAAGTGGATAAATGTTTGCTGGGAGGGGTTGGAGCTGAGAAATTGAAAACAATGGAAAGTTTCCCAGGATTAAAAGCATCATCCTCTGCATGTTTCCTTGTTGCATTCATGCACTTGGGTGGATCTGCTCCAGCAGGCACTTGGACGGAGCTCATGGTTACATAAAGGAAAGCACCTGAAGCCTCTCTTTGTCATATGTGCACCCACACATGCAAAAGTACATAACCTCTCTAGACTTAAGACTTCTCCTCGTAAGTCAAGAGTTGCCACTGGACTTCCTTGTGAGGCGTCATAATTCCCTTCATCTCTGTCCAGAGGTTTTGTTTGTGACAAGACTGAGGTTGCCTCAAACATTTGTGTGCTTGCCACTAGAAACAAATGAAAAAGAAAAAAAATCTTCTGGTGTAAGAAAGACAATGGGCTTTATTTAATTCTCTGAGCCTCTTTGTTTTTCCTTCTGGCCACATGCGTGGGCTCTGCTAGTATCCTGCTTTTCACCAAAGCAGTTTTCCATAGGTCCTTTTCTGCTTGCATAATACTTACGAAGTTCACACAGATTTTGAACAGAGACTTTCTTTTACTCTGGTAAAATGGTTTGTACAAACCATCCCCCACTACGTCTCCATCCAGCTGTGCAGACACATGCTCTGCCCTGCTTTCTCCATGCAAAAAGCCTCATGCCACATCTGTACAGTGAACAAAGAGAGGAAAGGTCAAGTTGGCATGTCTGACTGACTGATACTGGTGACAAAAATATGGAGAGGATCTAGCAGATGACAGTTCCTACATGCAAGTCTTCAGAGAAGACATGCATCCCATCAACACAGAGTATACACATCAACACAGACTACACACAGCTGAGAATGAGCTGCTGCATCTATCACCTCTGCTCAGTGGTAAAATTTGCTAGTGCAAGCATCATGCAAGCACGCGTTTGGAAGGGAGAAGGAAGAATAGAAGGCAAACCTCCAGCCTACCCTTCCAGGCTTGCTCATTCTGAGCTCCATCTTTCTGTGAAGTAACTCACAGAATCACAGAATCATAGGATCGTTTGAATTGGAAGGGACTTTTAAAGGTCATCTAGTTCAACTCCCTTTCATTGAACAGGGACATCTACAGCTAAACAGACTGCTCAGCGTCCCATCCAGCCTGGTCTTGAGTGTCTCCAAGGACAGGGTAAAAGGTTACTGATGTCCATATAATATTGAACTTATTTTTTGCAGTCCGTGCATTGTCATTTTCCAACGTCGTACAGTTTTGCACTGACATTTTTTAAACTGCATCAAAGAAGCCGTCAGAGATGAAGATATAAGATTTGACAGTTGAAAAGTTAACAGCCAATGCTTTAGGCTGATGAGGACGCCTTGGGAATCAGTTTGCAGCTGTAGGAAAAGTGCATTGAATGGAAGTATTGGCAAAATAGTTATTAAGAATGTTGGGATTTAAAATGTCTTCAGAAAACCATCATCATCCTGGCTCGTACTCCAATATTTGTTTCCCAACTAACCTGTGCAATGACGTATTCTGTCTTGTTATCAGATGAATTACACAGTGGTGGAGTCCAAAAGTATCATGGGGGGCACAAAGCAGATTTGCCTTGTCTCTGCTCTTAGTAATTACAGCTCTGGTGTGGATTTTATACTTGTTGGCAGATTAAAGCTGGAAGAGTTCTACTTTTGCCTTGGCTAGTCTTCTTCATTCTCCAACTGAACTGCAATCTTGATTTGTAAAGACTGTATACAATAAATTAAAGGCGATTTAAAGAATTTGAAGCTATCGTTACCTGGTTATGAAAGTTCAACAGTATATCTCCACC